TTTGTTTTTGTGTATAAAGAAAAGTCTTGCGATAGCTAATAAAAATATTCTGTATTAATTAATTAATTCATTTATTTTATTGATTAAAAAATTGTAAAGTATTTGTCGACTGTATATTTACTAATAAAAATGGATGTCATATTTTGAATTCAAATAAAAACAAATCATTCAAACCAATTCAGCCGAGCGCGGCTTCGACTCATATGAGGCGCGGATCCTTGCAGTAAAAAAATAATAATGTTTAAAGAAATGCCGGGCAGTGAAATTTTTTTTTCAGGATATGAAACTTTTATATCCAGTATATGTAACCATGAAAAAAACTTTATTATTTGATAGAGACTTTATCAAAAATTTGAATTGTATATTTCAATGATCAAAAAAAGTATAAAAAAATTTAAAAAAAAAAGTCCTGAAAATTTCACTACGAAACTTTTAACAGTTTTTTCACAATTAATTTTTTAATTAAAAGTGAGAAAAATCTTTGCTACAAAAAAACTGTTAAAATTAAAATAAAAAAAATATATTTTAAGGAAATATTGTTACTAAAGACTACTAACGATTGATGTAGGTATTAAAATTTAAATTCTATTACCAAGTGGAAAATGGGAGGTCCACTTGATGTGATCTGACTCAAAAACAAAAACAATGAATAAAAACTTTATAAAAAAATATAACTACAATAAAGCGTTATAACCATATGGTTATTCATTGTTTTTGTTGTTTTTGCAATAATTGTAACAATTATTATCAGTGCACTGATCTACTATAGTATATATACAATAAAATTCGTATCTTAAATTTGATCATGCTAAAATATAAAAATGTCAAACTTACCTTTGGAATTCCTGGCTAGCAACTTAAGTATTTATGAAGTGAATACCTATATATTATAAAACTGAAAAACTGAACCAAGATACATACACCTTGAAACTGAACGTTTATCTCTGAACCATAGAAAAAGGATATGAACTGAACGTTTTACCGGTATACAGGATATCTAGCTAGATGTTTACCATATATGGTATTCTATAGAAAACCTCGTGGCTCTTAGCTGCGTACGCACACTAACGCTGCAGTGTTGCCGGATTGCAGCCGGATGATTTTCGTGAAAGTTCCCGACCAAAAATTACAAAATACTAGAAATTACCCACACGAGTAAAAATTTCTAGTACATTTGCTCAATTTGGAAAAGTGAATTAAATTTTGAATAAATTAAGAGAAAAATAAAAGGATAGAATTAAAGAATTATGTTTAGTTAGTAGTTATACAATATTATTTACTGAAAATTTCTTTGAAAAGTAAAATTTATAAAATACCTGCTTCAATATTTTACTTGCAAGCATGATGAAATACGCGATTTTCAGGTCAAATACCTGCAAGCGGCAACCCTGCATTTAGTTGAAATGTGACGGCCATAGGCGCATGCGCACGAGTGCCCGCGTATTTGGTTTTGCAATTATTATATATAATTATTATTACCTATAGGTATATTAAATATTAATAACTGATATTAATTAAAAAATGTACTTTTTTATTTTCCGTTTAATATTTAATAAAAATCTTTAATTAATATTCCTTTAATGTTATGTTTTCTTTTTCTTATTTCGAATTCGGTCTTCAAATTTATTTTGATAGGGTAGGTATACCTTCCCTATCAAACAGAGGTATAGCTAACCTATCAAAATAAATTTGAAGATCTTTAATTAAACGTGCTAACAGGTCTGTATTCACGGCGTGCGTCCGGTGTGAATTAAATGTGCATAATAAATGTTAGGGGGCATCCATTAATTACGTGATGTGTTTAGGGGGGGAGGGTGGTCTCGGCAAATATCACGTAATTTTTGAAAAAAATTAAACAGTGTAAAATGGCGAGAAAACTGGGTTAAATTAAGTAAACAATTATAACAATTGTTTTTTTTAATAAATCTAATGGAATCAATCACAGATTAACTTATTTACATTAAAACAATGCATTTTCCCAAGGCGAGGGGGGAGTCGAAAAATCGCCAAATTTGCCTCACGTAATTAATGGATGACCCCTTATCTGTGAACTTACGGTGAATTCACGATTAGTTAATTTTTAAAGATTCACGGCGTGCGCCCTATGTGAATTAAATGTGCATTACAAATGTTATCTGTGAACTCACGGTGAATTCACGATGCATTCAATTTTGAAGATTCACGGCGTGCGCCCGGTAGGAGTTTAATGTGCATTCAGGAATGTAATTTGGAAACTCACTGTGGATTCACAATGCATTCATTTTTAAAGATTCAGGGCGTGCGCCCGGCATGAATTATATGTGCATTAAGAATATTATCTGGGAACTCACAGTGAATTCACGATGAATTCATTTTTAAAGATTCACGGCGTGCGCCCTATGTGAATTAAATGTGCATTACAAATGTTATTTGTGAACTCACGGTGAATTCACGATGCATTCAATTTTGAAGATTCACGGCGTGCGCCCGGTAGGAGTTTAATGTGCATTCAGGAATGTAATTTGGAAACTCACAGTGGATTCACAATGCATTCATTTTTAAAGATTCAGGGCGTGCGCCCGGCATGAATTATATGTGCATTAATAATATTATCTGGGAACTCACAGTGAATTCACGATGAATTCATTTTTAAAGATTCACGGCGTGCGCCCTATGTGAATTAAATGTGCATTACAAATGTTATCTGTGAACTCACGGTGAATTCACGATGCATTCAATTTTGAAGATTCACGGCGTGCGCCCGGTGTGAGTTTAATGTGCATTCACGAATGTTATCTGGGTTGCCCAAAACTTATCAATGTAATATTATAATTGCAATGTTCTAAAAATCTTGCAAATTAAATATTTATATTGCTTATATAAAGTAACATTGCAAAAATCATCTTAATGTAATATTTCGGATGAAACATTGCCCAAAACTTATCAATGTAATATAATAATTGCAATGTTTTAAAAATATTCCTAAACATTCCAAAATAAATGTTTCTATTGTATATTTAAAGTAAAGTTGCAAACATTTTTCATTTGAAACTTGTGTTAATATTTCAATTGAAACATTGAAAAAAAGTTATGTCTGCAATATTATAATTGTAATGTTTAAAAACTTTTATGCAACATTTTATACTAAATGTTACAAATATAACATTGTAAAAACTTTCCATGTGAATCTTTAAATAATGTTTAAAATTTAAGGTTGTTGGAAATTATTATATGCAATATTTCAAATGTAACATTTCATTTATGTTAATGCAAGTAGCACAGGAAATATTTTATTTGTAAAGCCGGCGAACATTGCAGCAATATCCCAGTGGGATAAAACACATGGAAAAGTATTTATTAACATTTTTTCTATTATAAGCCAAGTTTATTGCATAATTACCTATATAATAACAACATATGTAAGGTGTAATAATTATAACAATTATAATTTTTTACATACGATGCGCTTGACTTGCTTTCATTGTTGTCACTGTACGTTTTATTTTAATTAGTTTCTTTTTATATACGCTAATATTTATTTAACCATTGATCCAAACAATTGTTCTAAAATATATGTGTTCTAGACGCAATATCGATTTTCTCAGCTGGCCAATTAGAGTATTTTTCTCGAAAATCGGGTATTTTCGTAATGCTTGCGGGTAAAACTTTTAAGCGGGTAAAATCAGGTAATTTGCAAATTTCGATTAAAATAATAACTAAAGAAATTTTCAGTAAATAATATTGTAGGTATATTTATTTTTATTGACTTAAATAACAATTTAAGTTAATTTAATTTATTTTTCAAAACAAGGTGAATGCGCTAGTAAATTTAAAATATAACCAGTTTTTTTAGTATTTTGTAATTTATGGTCAGAAACTTTAATGGCAACACTGTACGTAAACACAATGACAGCAGCTCGAAGATCAACCATATTTGTGTTATGAGTTCAACCCTGGACCTGGTCCTAGGAGTTTAACTGTCGAAAATATCATGTCTATGAATTGCGAAGAATTCTCTAGTTATTATACCTTATGTAATCAATAAGGGATATGTATGTAGACAAACCAAACGTATGTCTCAGTTAACTGTTTTATTGTAATAAATTGAAGTAAACGTTGCTTACTTATATTGTAAACATTGCTTTCGTGTTTTTATAAGCCATATAAAAAAATCAGTGTATATAAATACTTTTCTTTTGAAATAACCAAATACACCATCTCTGAATAATGCCGGATATTTATTTTAATTCCTAAAGTGTTATTAAATCTTATTAACACTTCCAGAAGACTCCCAAATCTTGCTATTAGTCTGACTTATTTAAAGTCTATTCAAATCCAAGCTGGACTAAACAAAAACGCCCAGACGCGTGATAACTCGTTTCTATTGGTCGATTCTGATAGTGTGACTCGGATTGTGACGTCTTATTGGTCGATTCGGAGGATTGTGTTTACATTTAGTCCAGCTTGGACTTGAATAGACTTTGGAGTTTTTAAGAGAAAGTAAGACAAAATTCTTACTTTTACTTATTAAAACTTTTTCAGAGAAAAATAACACAAGGGGACTACTTGTTTTTTTGTGGGCCTGTGTGATTTACTTTGTGTACAAGTATTTTTAGGATTCTCTGTATAAACCAATAGTAATGGTACCTATTACAAAGTAAACTTTTTATGCTTTTCTAGGGACTAGTAATTGCCCAAAAATATGATATGAGTCTAGTCTGTTTTTTTTAGTTATTAGTATTTTAGTCCAGTCAAACGTTAAACTTCATTCATATTAAATGCAAACTTTTTCATCCTTTAAGGGTAAGTAGTGGATGCCTTGGCCTTGGCCTCTTTTCTTCCCTTTATTAAACTTGCAAGGGTGGCCGCCATCTTCATATTTAGAGACAAGTCTAATTAAAATATGCCACGTCAAAAATAGCCATTACCGTTTGCAAACCTTGTGCCTATTTTCGTACAGTTTGACTGGACTATTTAATAAATTAAAGAAACCCTTATGTTAATAATTTTATTATTCTTAGTGCCAACAATTGATTGAAAACTTTGGATCAGAAATATTGGATAACATTTCTCATTACACAAAAGAAGCCTCTAAAATTTGCCAGATCATGGGAAAATGTTCACCAGAGTTAATAGGGTCAAATGTATGTACCAGAGGCCCTACATATTGGTGCCAAAATGGGGAAACTGCAGAAAAGTGCCAGGTAAGAAACAGTTTAAATTAAAAACATACTTGATGATGTCGACATCCACCGAAGAATGTCTACATGTACCTACCGATTTCGGTTTTCGCAGTAACAAATAATGCTTGTAAAACGCCGCGACGGCCTTATGTCTGACGAATATAGGTTGTCTAAAACCACAACTTCTAAGTTATTAAGGAAGAAAAATTGCCTCCTCCAATTTAACAGTTAAATGTTACTTCAAACAATAAAAGCTTTTATATGAAAAGGTTAATAATAAACATGGTTTTAAAATAATAATTATTGTTTGTGCTCCCTGCTGAAAAAAATCATTGAACTATTAAAAATAAGAAAGTTGGTGTCGTCCCAGGGAAAACTAAACAAGCTGTATAAGAGGCAAAATTTGCCAAGTGTACCAGGTGAAAAAATTTTTGTCACCGATTTTGTTTAAACTTTACTTATTTGTTGTTCTTATAACGAAGAATCATAGCATAAAAATTTTTTGCTCTAGGATTATTGAAATTTATCGATTTATTAATTTTTGGTGAAATCGCTTTTTATTTAAAAATTCATATCTTCTGTTCATCTCTTTATTAAATATTTTAATTTAACCACCTTAAATGATTTTTTCTGTACTTTTCAATGGGCTATACCGTTTTTGCAAAAAATAATTGCAATTTTTTTTGAAATTTTGCATTATTTTGCATTCTTTTAAACCATGTGTATTTTTTAATTTTTTTTTAAAATAGCATAAAATCGAAGTTTATTATGTTACCTTTTAATAAAAAAAATTTAGAGTGGGCCCGACATGTAGAAGGGAAGTTTTTCATATTTGAATGCGTGCGGGTCTAGCCGTCGAATAGCTACTACACTGCCGTATGCGTTTGTACCTAGTAGATGCGAGTAAACGAATACAAAATGATAATTTAAAATGTAAAATTATGTTTGATTAGTCAATGATATATTTTAAATATTTACACTGCCGCAAGATATAGTTTTTTAACTGTATTTTTTTGCACCAATTGTTTAAGCATGGGTCTACATAGATTTCGCAAGGAGGATCGATGATATTAAATAAAAAATTTATTATTATAACCGTAACGGCTTGCCTATAAGCTGAATAGGTCAATGGCGTTAATAATATATAATGTCTATAAACGGTTTTTGCTGTCATGACGAGCTCTAAACATTCGCCGTACGGACATTACTTACTTTTTAAACCGTAACGGTCAGTCAGAATATTTGTGTTGCCAATCGGCAGATTAAAATATGATTTTTTTAATTTAATTAATTACAGATTAAAATATGATTTGTAGATTTCGTAATTCCGAGGATTTTTGGCGGATATTACTAGAATAATGTTAATTTTTATTTTTGTGGCTAAAGTAAAATACAGAAAGAATAAAGTGTTGGTGTTATTTTTCTTCAATTTTTTGCCCTACCATACTAATTTTACATTTTAAATTATCATTTTGTATTCGTTTACTCGCATCTACTAGGTATAAACGCATACGGCAGTGTAGTAGCTATTCGATGGCTAGACCCGCACGCATTTAAATATGAAAAACTTCCCTTCTACATGTCGGGCCCACTCTAAATTTTTTTTTATTCAAAGCTAACATAATAAACTTCGATTTTATGCTATTCAAAAAAAGAAATAAAAAATACACTTTGTTTAAAAAAATGCAAAATATTGCAAAATTTCAAAAAAAAATTGCAATTTTTTTTTTGCAAGAACGGTATAGCCCATTGAAAAGTACGGAAAAAATCATTTGAGGTGGTTAAATTAAAATATTTAATAAAGAGATGAATTTTTAAATAAAAAGCGATTTCACCAAAAAGTGATAAATCGATAAATTTCAATAATCCATAACTCTTGAATGAACAATCCTAGAGCAAAAAAATTTTATGCTATGATTCTTCGTTATAAGAACAACAAATAAGTAAAGTTTAAACAAAATCGGTGACAAAAATTTTTTCACCTGGTACACTTGGCAAATTTTGCCCCATAAATGAAACAATAATATTTAATTTAATTCATTTATATATCATTTATACACTGCTACTTCCGAGTGACGCTTTTTCTATATATTCGCATATGTAGAGTTAAAGCTCCTGAATATAAACCTTCTTAAAACTTTTAACGAAGAACTCTGCCACATATTAAGTGGGGGCATGTATGGGGCAGATATATATCCATTGTGGTAATATATATCATCGATTTAACATAATTTATAAATGATATGTTATTATTCCATTCATTTAAATGTTCTTTATGCACTTTATATTTGAACGCGCCTTCTTCACGTTCATATAGTAACTTGCTGCCCGTGGACTATTTAATTGAAAATAATTGTAACTCGCAAAATGATTTATTTTACAAAATTAATTTAACAACTGACAGAATAAAAACTTCTGCCTACTTTTCGCGCAGTAAATTTTAATCCAACGATATTACTAATTTACATATCATCGATTTAAAATATTTTTAAAAAGCGCCAACGCCAACTGAAATTTTTGAATCGCGCTTTATGCTGTCAACTTTCAAAATTGTTCATTGATAGAACTCAATATACAATATTGTCAGATTTAAAACAATATCATTAAAATAAATTAATTTCTAATAGGAAATATACTTGTTGTCCCTCTGTATGATATTTAAATTAGTTACTTTAATGATTATTTGGTTGCCTATTAAGTTTCACTAAAGAACGTAGATGTTTTGGCAACATTGCTCTACGTAAGTCTTAGCGACTAACTAACTAACTAGCAACTAACTTAAGCTACCCGGTATCCGGTTTGTTCTGTGGTAGCAACTACCAGCAACCAGCGAATTTTGTAGAACCTTCCTTAAATCTGAAAAAGGAACAATACTTGACCGCAAAAGCAAAGATTTTTAAATTTGAATGAATTTCAAATAATTTTTACAGAGGGAATTTTACAATAAATAATAAATGTTATTGTAATTATGGTATTTTTAACTTAAGGTAGTTGTCGTGCTGTAGGCATACCATCAGAAAATTTTAAATTTTTGTATACCTACTTATTAAGGACATGACAATACAATTATTCTTAAAATTTGAAGTCGATTGACCGTCTATAACCCTAGATAAATTCAATTAAAAATTGGATAATTAACATGTATTCTGTAGTTCTGTACCAGTTTCTTAGTTATAAAAAAAAACTAACTATCAGAAGCTTTCAAAAAACTAACAGTATTTGGTCCAATTGTTTATAAATAACCGTTTAAAGTTCAACCATTTGTAAGTATACTAGTGAATCAGATAAAAACAACTTGGCAACGCTGTTCGCGAGTATAGATATTATTTGCGCAGTAAATTCAAACAGACTGATGACAATGATTCAGTTTCCAACATATCTATTGGTTGCGCATAAGCGACGTTGCCGGATTAAAACTTATGAAAATAAGTGAAAGTATTACGTATAGGTAAAGTCTCCAAGGGTACAGTCTTGCGATAAAATTATAAATCACTTAGCTACAAGCTAGTATACTTTTACGGTGCGTATAATCTAAAAAAATTTGACAATATTGTACCACGACAACAACCTTAAGTTCTAATTTTTAATAAAAAAAAAGCTTTTTTGTTAATGCAAACTTCCACTTATAGAACTATACAACTTTATACGTAATAAGTAATTACTAATTACATTTTGACTAGGCTACACAACACTGCGAGACAAAAGTGTGGAACCAATCAAGAGCTAAAAGATCACCTCAGGGTCTTCCTCTTTTGGGTCTAAATCCTTGCACTTGGGGACCATCATTCTTTTGCGACAACCTTGAAAACGCAAAAAGATGCCATGTAAGTATTAGTTCAAATTTTTTAGCAATGCAGGTGCATTAAAAAGTAAACAGAATTTATTATTTTGATAAAATTAGTGTGGATTCACAATGGACATAACCATAAAAGATACATAATGAAATCATAAATCATAACCATAAAATTTACATAAAACCCAAAGAGCGTTCACAATGACCATAAAAATTGACATGTTGAGCATGTCAAACTAATGTCATTTTAATTTAATTTAAATTAAAATTTGTGAATTGTGTTTTTAAAATGAGTGAGACTGAAGAATTATTATTGTTATCTATGATTGTTACTACTAAGACGACGATGCCAAGAACGCCAAGATAGGGTAAAACCAAAACGAACAAGACGCTGGTGGGTTCGTCCTATAAATAGAGATAGAGAAAAAATGGATTTCGAAGACTAATTATTGAAATGGGACTTCATGAAACTGAATGGTTTTTTACTTATACTAGAATGACAGCCTCATTATTTGAGGAATTGCTAAAACTAGTGTCCCCTAAATTGATTAAACATAGCATACGAAAAGGTATTTGTCTACCGGTGACGAAACCTTTTCCATAGCAAATGGTTATAGGAACCGCAAGAGTTGCCAATATAAAAACATAACAAACCAAAAGTCACCGAATTTTCCCAAAAAATTACATAAATATTTCATAAAGTTAAATTATTTGAACTTTATGTGATTTTTACGGTACTCCATAATTTTTACATAAGAGTTACATAAACGTAAAGATTACGTACTATGCACATTGTGAACGCTTCTTATGTATCTTTATGTATTTTTTTATGTATTTCTTATGTTTTTTTTATGGTTACGTCCATTGTGAACAAGCACTTAGATTATTTTATTTAGAATAGGCTACTTAATGTTTTTTAGGTCTTCTAATGACTTTTACATCCGCTTTTTGAGCGACAATTGTCGATTGGATCGACAATTGTCGATCGGATGGACAATTGTATATATACAGGGTGTTTCACATTCGTGGTCCATTAGTAGTTTCTGGGGGACGAAAAAAGATATCGATTTGAAATTTTAAAAGCGTTTAAAATGCATTTTTTCTAAAATATTTTGAACAAAATTACACTTCCGGCCTAACCGGAATTGAGATCAACACCCCCATATATTTTTACATTTTTAAATTCAACATTAAATTCTGAGTAAAATTACTATACCATGTCCTATACCTAAGGTGAATATTTAATTATTAATTTTTTTTCGTTAAAATTTAAGAAATGCGTGTCAATCAAAAATAGCCTATAACGTTTTTGTTATCAGGTTTGCAAATATGGGGTTGGAATTTTTGGAATCTTAAAACATTGTTTAAAAGATTCCATGGCAAATTAGGCCAACTTTTTTATTTCAAATGTAACACTTGCTATGTTTTTACATATTCAAATAGTAAATTAAAAAACCTATTCCCTATACCTAAAGTTAATGATTTCAAAAATATTTAACAATTTAACAATTTAAAACTTTAAATATTATTTTGTATCAATAAACCTGTGACGGGTAAGTTGACGGTATCTATGGTTAGCACGTAATCTGTCATTGTTCAAAATTTAATTTCGTCAATTTTTCAGGTTGTTATAAACTTTTTGTTTACTGACTAAATTTTTTAGCAGTCAGTTAGTCAAGAAGAGCAACGTCTAATGTAGAAGTAAGAATATAAAAATGTTTAAATGTAAATGGAGGACACTTTAAACATTTAGTAATAAATTAGTAGTAAAAATTGTTAATTAAAATATTGTTGTTTTATTAAATTGTTACAGTTACGCATTTTTTTGTTATTAAAATATTTCATTTATGTACTAGACACCCTACAGCTTTGTTGAGTTTTTATCCAAAATTAGCAAATACTCTTTGTATAACTTTTAAATTTTTAAAATGTTTAGCTTGTCCATGTTTTTTGTAAGTCCCTGACTGCTATGTTTTATCAGTAATATTGTTTACACTTAATTAGTTTATAAATTGTTTATAACAACCTGAAAAATTGCATCATGACGCGATTAAATTTTACAAATTACGTGGTAACCACGATACACAAAAACCGGTATACTGATGCGCATGTTATAGCTATCTCTCTCCCACCGTGTGACGTCATCTGCGAACCAAAAGCTTGCGGGTAATTTTAAGCAACAATTAATTTCCTACCTTCCTATTATTATTTTTTTAAATATTTTTTATTTAAATTAACTTAACTTACGCTAGACCGCTATTCTTTCCATTGCATGCATTAATCCACTGCTGCCAGATCTTTATTTTTTGGAAATCGTTACCCTAATATAACAAGGTTGTATGTTAAAAAACCAAAAAATTTGAGTTTATGCTTCTACAAGGTTTTATGTTATCCACCCTTCACATACAACTTAAAAATAGCTCTATATATATGTATACATAGAATATACATTGTATAGAATTGTTTTTAAGTGGTATGTGAAGCGTAGGCCACGTATAATCCTGTAAAAACATAAACTTAAATTTTTCGTTTTTTTTAACATACAACCTTGTTATATTAGGGTGACGAAATGTAAAATATTTAATGTTAGGTTAGGTTGGGAGTTTCCGACGGAAACTTTCCGTTCATATTTGTGCTGTCTGCTACAGCACAGCCCGGCATATTTTAAATAGTTATTGGGTACAACAAAAACTTAATTAATAACCCCCGTGCGTGGCTTGTAAATAGTTATTGCTGTTCAATAAATGCAGTAAAAACGTTGCAAAACCATCGTGCGTGGCTTATACTTTAAAAAACACTATAATTTCGAGAAAACCCAGCAAACACATAAGTCTGGTAATGTAATGACCCATTACAGCGTTTAATGGTTCAATGATGGCATTTTTAATCCAAGCTGTTCTTGTACTGGGCCTCTACAGGAATTTTTCGTTAATAAATGTCAATTTAGACCAAAGGCTGTCGTGGTAAGGTCTTGCAATGGCCCTTTTCAGGCAATGATATGTATAATTTAACATTAAAGGCCCACATATGGCAATTATAAGTATCAAGTTAATGGAACTGTAACACACCATTACAGTGCCAAATGTTTTCCTTTGCGTTACACCATATTTACTAATGAATTGCCTCATGTTAGTGGTATTATGCATATGCATATAGAAAAATAATATAGGTTTTGAGATATATTAATTAATTATTAATGAACTAAACAACTAGGTAGTACCTTTTTCAAGTAAGTATTTTTCCTGTACAATTTTTACATTAATGTCGTACTATTTAATAACCTAGGTTATAGCCACTACAAAAGATATTGAAAATACTATAAAAGCATGCTTAAGGGGAGCAATCGACAGGGATGGTGGTCGTAAAAATCGAGAGAAAAAAAATCAATGAAATTATTAATTTTTCATATTTTAATTTTTTTTTATTTACTGAAAGAAATTTGATTTTATTTTATAATATTTGTTAAGTTTTTTTTTAATTAAACATGTTATGTTATAATTATGTTTGAATTACATGTATTTTATAAAACATTAAACCCTTTGTATTTTTTAATTTTTTGAAAGTTTTAGAGACATTCCATTCAATTTTTGTCCCGACTGTTATCTATATAGTAAAGTACCTATCTATTATGGTGGATTAAATTTGGTAAGTATATATTTATTAGGTCGGATATTACACGATAATCGGGAATTTTTTTCCCTACCGTCAAATATCGGTCGGGATAAAATATTTCAATTATTATGGAATATCCGTACCTAGTAAATATATAGGTAACACATTTAATCCACATAATAGGTACTTTACTTATCCATTAAAGAATATTTAACTAACCACTATAGAATCTTTATCACCCCATATAAGAACATTTAGCTTGCCACATTTGTACCTTTAACCTGCCATATCGGAACCTTTAGCGGTTCTTGTAAGTGTCTTTATCGACTGCCGTTACATGCCCATAAAAGGTGAACGCGACATAATATGTAGAGGTCCATTAAAGTCAGCCTTTATAGGGCCTTTAGTTTATTAAAGGCACGCGTTTAAAGGGCCATTACAGAACCTTTACGGTTGTGTTTGCTGGGAAACTCAAAAGAAATCGTAGTAAAACACCCGTGCATATGCCTATGCAAAATAGTTTGTAACATTTGAATCTGGTTGGCACGGGACGTCACATGCGCGGAGTCGACAAGTTTTCGTTTCATAACCAGCATACCGGTTTTTGTGTATCGTGGTGGTAACTATAGATACCGTCAAGTCACCCGTCACAGGTTTCTTGATACAAAATAATATTTAAAATTTTAGAAATTGTTAAATATCTTTGAAATTATCAACTTTAGGAATATCGAATAGTAACATCAATCGAAAGGTTTTTTAATTTATGTAAAAACATATCGTGTAAAAAGAGTAGAGTAGTTTTTGAGTTACACCCAAAGAACCAAGATTTGAAAAAAAAATAGTCAATATTTTTTTAACTAAGGTTGGTGTAGGTACGATGTTTTATATTTATTGTGGTTTATTTGGACATATGAATTGTCATTGTCGTTTGACCAAAAATGGACATATTTTATGCCAATAATATCGCGATAGATCAAAAATTGAATAAAAATAAAGACTTAAATATATGTAGTTATTTTTGTCCAACTTCGTTTGGCAAAAAAATTGGCAAAAATTTGACCAGTTTGCTTATCCCTGCTTAAAATACCGCATAGGGACCTATACAAAATAATCTATCGGGCGCTACCGGATTCAATATGTGCATTTGTCCATGGTTTTTTCCGGATACGGCCCGATAGAAAATGAATAGGAAATTACCTATAGGCACACCATAACTTTTACATTTTCCCTATTGAGACCGATAGCAAATAACTCAATGAAGGATATATAGGGATTTCCCTATAGAGCAACCATAAGACATTTGTCAAAATTTTATTAAAACCTATAGGGTTCTATGGGGAAAAAACAAATTTCTACATTTATGTGTATTTTTCCCATTGAAACTAATAGCAAATAAATCAAGGGTGGATATCCCTATAG